GCTCCTGGGGAGGTCTTGTATCGCTCTGGGGAGGTCCTGTGTCGGCTCCGGGGAGGTCCTGTATCGGCCCCGGGGAGGTCCTGTATCGGCCCCGGGGAGGTCCTGTATCTGCCCCGGGGAGGTCCTGTATCGGCCCCGGGGAGGTCCTGTATCGGCCCCAGGGAGGTCCTGTGTCGGCCCCGGGGAGGTCCTGTATCGGCCCCAGGGAGGTCCTGTATCGGCCCCGGGGAGGTCCTGTATCGGCTCTGGGAGGTCCTGTATCGGCCCCGGGGAGGTCCTGTATCGGCTCTGGGGAAGTCCTGTATCGGCCCCGGGGAGGTCCTGTATCGGCCCCGGGGAGGTCCTGTATCGGCTCTGGGGAAGTCCTGCATCGGCCCCGGGGCGGTCCTGTATTGCCCCGGGGGGCCTTGTCCCGGGGAGGTCCTGTATCGGCCCCGGGGAGGTCCTGTATCGGCTCTGGGGAAGTCCTGCATCGGCCCCGGGGCGGTCCTGTATCTGCCCCGGGGAGGTCCTGTATCTGTCCCGGGGAGGTCCTGTATCGGCCCCGGGGAGGTCCTGTATCGGTCCCGGGGAGGTCCTGTGTCGCTTCTGGGGAGGTCTTGTATCGCTCTGGGGAGGTCCTGTGTCGGCTCCGGGGAGGTCCTGTATCGGCCCCGGGGAGGTCCTGTGTCGCTTCTGGAGAGGTCTTGTGTCGGCTCTGGGGAGGTCCTGTATCGGTTCTGGAGAGGTCTTGTTTCGGCTCTGGGGAGGTCCTGTATCGACTCTGGGTAGGTCCCGTATCGGCCCCGGGGAGGCCCTGTATCGCCCCCGGGGAGGTCCTGTATCGGCTCTGGGGGGATCCTGTATCGGCTCTGGGGAGGTCCTGTAACGCCCTGGGGAGGTTCTTTAACGCCCCCAGGGAGATCCTGTATCGCCCCCAGGGAGATCCTGTATCGGCTCTGGGGAGGTCCTGTATCGGCTCTGGGGAGGTCCTGTTTCGGCTCTGGGGAGGTCTTGTATCGGCTCTGCGGGGTCTTGTATCGGCTGTGGGGAGGTCCTGTATTGGCCCCGGGGAGGTCCTGTATCGGCCCCGGGGAGGTCCTGTGTCGCTTCTGGGGAGGTCTTGTGTCGGCTCTGGGGAGGTCCTGTATCGCTTCATGGGAGGTCTTGTATCGGCTCTAGGGAGGTCCTGTGTCGGCTCTGGGGAGGTATTGTATCGGATCTGGGGAGGTCTTGTATCGGCTCTGGGGAGGTCTTGTATCGGCCCCGGGGAGGTCTTGTATCGGCGCTGGGGAGGTCCTGTATAGGCCCCGGGGAGGTTCTGTTTGGCTCCGGGAAGGCAGTAGGTCGCCCTGTTAGACGAAGGCAAGGTACGTGATGGTCATTTGCAAGATGTGCGAAGATAGGGCCGTGGGTTGGGTAGCCCATCGCTGGAGACAGGGCCGTGGGTTGGGTAACCCATCTCTGGAGACAAGGCCGTGGATTGGGTAGCCCATCTCTGGAGACAGGGCCGTGGGTTGGGTAGCCTATCTCTGGAGACAAGCTAGCATTTAACGTAAGCTTTGCATGGAAAGCAATGATTAAAAATCTAGTCCCCCGCTATTCAGTGGAACAGTCTTCACTGAACCCAGGGAGACATCTATGAGCAGCAGTGTCGGCAGCTCACATCCGTCACATCGCAGCTCCAACACGAGGAAACGAGAACCACCTGTGCTGGACATATGTCTTGATATCGTGTCGGGCAAAAGTTTAGATTTGGCTCGCTGGTTTTAGCGTGAGTTTCTCGGTCGGTGGTCACCAAGATGTGTACGTATATATTAACCCCAGTGCCACGTTCCCCGCCCCTTGCTGAATTTACAGCATGCGTTAAGGTGCAGCTAAAAAGATGTTGAATAAGAAATCGGAGGCAGACACGTAGGCATGAAAAGATCAATAGCACGTGATAATGTTTTACGACTCGCTAGGAATTGTGCGTGATTACGGAGGGTTAAGCTCGGTTTGCAGAGAGCAGCTTCGGTCAACCCGACCCCCTCCCCATTGTGAAATGCTGTATGCACTTCTGTGGTGGCCATGCTTTATAAGCTGTGACACCCAGGCACTTGGCTCGTGAAGGCCGCATTTGTTCCGAATTGTCATTGTTTCTGGAGAGCCGTACAAATTTCTTTTTTGCGCCTTTTCTGCCGCACCTTTATCTTTCCCGATGTTATCAGCACTGTGCTTCCACATGCGACGAAAGAAATAGCAATGCTGTGCAAAATGTATGTGGATATTGACGCATGCGACAAGTGACCATGATTGACGGCCGATTATCGCTAGAATGGCATAGGCTGGTGGTCGTTCGTTGCGGTATTCGTGGACTCAGGCTATTTTGGGCTCGCAATGGCCCGTCCGCTGCCAGACGTTTGAGCCATCACACAAGTACGGCCCCGACTCAAGATACCCTCAACCATTTGTAACGCAATTGCTCGTCAAAGCCGGCAGTAAAGGGTTTTGTTATGACGCCGACGTGAGCATCGCCGCACCTCGGGCTTCCTCAGTTTTGTTATGACGCCGACGTGAGCATCGCCGCACCTCTGGCTCCCTCAGTTTTGTTATGACGCCGACGTGAGCAGCGCCGCACCTCGGGCTTCCTCAGTTTTGTTATGACGCCGATGTGAGCATCGCCGCACCTCGGGCTCCCTCAGTTTTGTCATGACGCCGACGCGAGCAGCGCCGCACCTCGGGCTCCCTCAGTTTTGTCATGACGCCGACGCGAGCAGCGCAGCACCTCGGGCTCCCTCAGTTTTGTTATGACGCCGACGCGAGCAGCGCCGCACCTCGGGCTCCCTCAGTTTTGTCATGACGCCGACGCGAGCAGCGCAGCACCTCGGGCTCCCTCAGTTTTGTTATGACGCCGACGCGAGCAGCGCAGCACCTCGGGCTCCCTCAGTTTTGTCATGACGCCGACGCGAGCAGCGCAGCACCTCGGGCTCCCTCAGTTTTGTTATGACGCCGACGCGAGCAGCGCCGCACCTCGGGCTCTCTCAATCTTGTCGTCGGGCCGGCCTTCACGACGGCTGCGGTTTCGGTCCTTGTGATCAGCGTCGGGACCGCGTCACTGCAGGGACTGAGCACAGTGCTATCGCGATCAGCGGCCGTCCATGTTTGGTTCCGCGCGGTCTCAGTCGGCCGACCGGGGTCGATGGCATTTCAATGTCCTCCACATGAATAATGGAATGTGTGAGCCGTGCGGGCCAGTTGCTGACGGCTCGCCGGCCACTTGACCCTGACACGCCGCACGATGGGCGGCACGGCAGCCGGGCGGGCGCGTGCCACAGGTGCCCTCACAGCATTACCACGCCGGGGCGGGTGAGCTGGTGCGCTCGTGTCCCCTCCGAGGAGCATCACATCCTGCTCGTGAGCTCTGACGTTTGTTCGCGTCAGTTGCCAACTTCGGAGCGACGCGATTGTCATGCGATATATCACATGAAAATTAAATCTTAGCATGACGTTCTGTTTATCGGATAGCGAAATTGACTGGCTTGCGATTGATGTGATAAAGCCCTATGATTCAATTTACCCCTTTTTTACTATTTACTTTTTAATTTTAAAAAGAAAACACTTTACCCTTTTTAATCCTTATTTACCTGAGGGGCCTGGATATGAAGTTGCTGCCCGATTGCCAAACATATGCGCATTGGCATGTAGGACCAGAAGTAATCGCTGCTTGGTATGTAAAACGTTGAAATGTCGTATGTTATAGTAATTAGAAACAGCTTGAAAGGCGGAAACTCTATTGCCGTGCGTTGTGCCGATTCTCTCCAAGACCACGGGACTTGGATTGGTAAGGTAAAAGCATTTCGGCTTTTCGACAGCGGTGGTTTATATGGCAGCTGTTTAGCGCCCAACCACAGAGCCGAATGACAATCGGATGTCGTCGGAGGCGGTCAGGCGTAACGCTGCGCCATAACCGCGAATTGACGGCTTCGGGCTTTCCGGGCTCTCGATAATCCTCGACGAAAGCAAAAAAAAAAACCCCTCATGCGTTACTTCAATGCGACGAAACATACATTTCAGTAGCTTGCCTTTTATCTTATTCAGCGGCGGGCCAGCGGTTGAAAAAAAAAATCCGCAAAGAAGTAGAACATTTCACATTCTGCCTGAAACGTGGACGTAGGTTTTGGCTGGTCGTCTTTATTCTTCCGCGTAGATTCGTGTTGAGCAAAAAGGACGTCACCATCAGGAAACGCAGGTGTCAGGCATTGCTAATGTACACCTGCCTTATATTATGCAGCCATGTTTTAACTTTTAGTTGCGATGGTCTATCAGCATCGGATTTAGCTGTCCTGGCTCATCATTGTCAAATCTAGCATTCATTGCTCGTGAGCATTGAATTATTCCCGTAAACTGCGTTATCACCTTGTATTATAACATGCAAAATATCTAGAGCGGACTGACAATACTTCCATAATGATCGCCACCGAGCTATTCCGACCTCTACGAACTGTGTGGGAGTGCTACCGCAGAGCAAAGCGGCGAGGAAGTCACTCAGGCGAGGTGCGCACCGATTCAAAAGTTCCTTGTTTCATTCCATGTGTTTTGTGAATAAGCTCGTAATGTGAGTCTCAGGGAAAAAGGCCTAGACAGTTCTTGTGGCACATTGAATTCCATCACCATGCATGCGGGATCATGCGGGATCATCCCGCATGCATGAGCACATTGGCTTCCATCTTTTGTGTCACACAGTGAGCTCAGTGAGATGTGTTTGGTCTTGTATGACGGTACACATCATAGCATTGGCGTGACGTCAGCGGAGGACAGCTGACGCTCGATGGCTGTGACTTCAGTCTAGGACAGCTAGCGCTCAGTGACCGTGACGTCAGCTTAGGACAGCTGGAGCTCGATGACTGTGACGCCAGCCTAGGACAGCTGGCGCTCGATGGCTGTGACGCCAGCCTAGGACAGCTGGCGCTCGATGGCTGTGACGTCAGCCTAGGACAGCTGGCGCTGAATGACCGGCTCTGTGTTTCTGCCTGTTTCAGGGGTGACAGGAGAGATCCAGATGACGCCGGAAGACTGTCAGAAACTGCACAGAGATACGGAGATAACATCACCAGGTCAGCACTAGAGTTGCAGTTTTTTGTTCTCTAAAAACCTGGCTCCGACTCCGGCAGGGACCCATCCATTAGCAACAGCATATGACAGTGAACGTGCCTTTTGGCATAAAGGCACGTTTATTTCCAGATGAATACAATAGCTAGTATCAGTTAATACACATTTGCCACGAGCATGTAGCTAAAACACATTGCACACATTCGGAGCAAAACTGCAGCGGTTCGATTTGTGATTTGCTGTCCATAATTTTAGGCCAAGTAGTGGTCAATGCATCATTTTGTTTTGAAACAGTGGTACATTCAATGCCTTTTTGTGATCAGACAACGGAGAGAACAGCTCTAACGCAGAGACATGCGGTTAATTTTGTCAACTGTCGATACCCAGATTCACTGCTACAGTAGCAAAGCTGGACATTGATAAATATCCGCACGCAACTGCCCACGTCAGGCCTAAAATACAGCGCATGTGTGAGAACTTTGTGGATGGAATGGGTGGCGTGCCACCAACTGACGCTCGCAGACGGAGGTTGGGCTGAGCTTGGTCGGGGCAGCTGTAGATTGCAGCCCCTCACTCAGAGTTAGTAACAGATGGCCCTGACAGCGGCAGTTAAAAAGAAGGTTTCACATTTGAAGGCATTGGAAAAAGCATCAGACAAGATGAAATAAGCTCACTTACAACTATTGGTATACTTTTATGTGGAAAAGACTGCTCTAGAAAACACGAGAACCAATGGACGGTTCTCATATCTTGAAATCGTGCTCACGAACGCCAGGTATAAACAACTCGATCATGCTCTAGAAAACACTAGAGAGCCAATGGACGGTTGTCAAGTCTGGAAATCGTGCTCACGAACGCCAGATATAAACGGCTCCATAATTTTATTTGTATTGGCCTTGATCGTCGCATGGCTTATGCGATAACAGGATTCGATTGACTTTACCATGACGTCATGAGTGCCAAGGTGACTTTGAAATACTCTCTCCAAAAAGTCTCCCCGTCTTCGCTAGCTCGTAGCTCAGACACTAGAGGGGTTTAGGTCATAAGAAGGGTAGGGCTGTTACCAGCGCTGAATGATGTTCAAAGTGGGTTTTTCAGTTACGGACCCCATAAAAATGTGGAAGACACCCTTTAAGACTACAGATTTTTCCAGGAGCGAAGGATGTTTGTGGCGTAGCGTAAAAATTGATATATATATATATGTGAAACAAAGAAGCAACATGTACGTTCAGTGCGCCCTGCATGAACAGGAAGACTGGTAGAACAGACAGTGGGCTGTGGACCGAAGATAGAAAACAGTAGGAGACATGGAGCTTCAGTTAGAGAAATGAATTCATTGCACGTGGTCAGATACGTGTAACAAGTCGTTGCTGGTGATATCACAATCTTTGAAGCAACTATATTTGTTTTGCCATAAATGTTGTTTTAGCTTCTCTTTCTACCACATATTTTGAGCAGAGCTTATGGAAAATGTTGGATAACTATGTTGGAAAGTCCTTGTCTATCACTTGCCAACAGTTGCCAAACGCGGCAAGGCATTTGTGCCACATGCATTCATCCTAGGCACTTGTGTCAGAAACACTCCATACTTACCAGTCCTATTATTGTTTTTGTTACAATTCCCCGGATGATGACGAAATATCTTCGTGTTTGTGGGTTAGCTTTCGTTGAAATGAATGTATCAACTAAACATCTGGCCACATGTAACTATTGTACTGATCATTCAGCCCGCACCAAAAGCTTGCTTACTTCCGCAGTGAACGTGTTAGCGGGTCGGTGGCCGTGGCTGCCATCAGCTTCGCTTTTGTTATCCACTATGCAGTGAGCGGTTCGTCACTGCGTGCTCCTTCCGCTGGGAGTTTTTTGGTAATTTGGTTTTCACTCTGAGTTTGATATGGAGGCTTTGGAGTTATGATGTGGGCTTTGTTTCCTTGGGTACCAAACAGACACAATCTATGCACATTGACTTATGCTCTATTTTGGGCACGCCGCACCAAAAATCGGACACGGGGCCCTTCATGCGGTGGCCAAAGTTTGCATCTTTCGCCATTACCAATCGCGTTGATCCAGCAATTCTCCTCAGTGCCCTTCGACTAAATCGCTTAAATGTTGTACTCACATCACTTAGCAAGCCGTGGTATGCTATAGAGGATTGGATACCAATTTAACATCGCAGAACTGGACGAAGTTGCTTGTGGCAAATGTTCGAAAAGTACTCCAGGACACAATAGGCATCCGGGTTTGCGTAATTTATCCTACTAGTAGTGCATGTCTTACACATTTTGAAGCTTCAAGTGATGATAGAGTGGACTGCTTGCGGTGTCTTTTCTTATCAGCTCGCTTGTAACTGAAAGTGCCCCGCCGGAAATCCGTCTCTCAAGGTGATGGCATTGGAGCAATCATGACAATTGACCTCTGTCTGTCACATTTTTGCTTCGTTTATCCTTTTGCCGCGCTTGATTGAAAATAGTGTCAAATTGCCGAAAAATTCTGCGGAACCAATCTCAAGTTTCGCGAAAAACGGGAACAACGAGGTAGGATTTCGTACAATTAAGCTTGCAGAAAAATGAAAACATGGCGTCGTTGTGTACTTATTGAAGACATACATGGCTTGGTTTAATCAACAATACCCGCGACCAGGGACGTCACCTTGTATATCTTGGGGGAGCCTGAGTCCCCCACCCCAAATGTTGACTTCAGCCGGTCAATGCACTTTTGAGACCCTCCATGCATATCAGCAAAAAGCAGATACTGAACCAAACATTGACAATTCTCTGAAAACAAATGATCCACCCGTGCATGGAGTTTTGAACTGAGTCAGCCATGCTCAAGATGATTCCATGCGGTTAACTGTCATCCCCTTTTTAAGGTTTCAAGTCTTCCTATTTGTAAGCTAGACGCACGCAAACTTGTACAGACTGCTTCGCGTCACCGATTTTAAGTCGGATCACCTCCAAGGGGCAAGAGGTCGTTCGGAATGAGTGGTCCGGGATCTCGGTGATCCTAGGACACTGTTGACAACGGCCTGCTGTTCATGACAGCTTCTACTTCACACAGCAATGTTTGCAGAAGCACTTCGGTTAGTAGCTGCTGTCCAAGACGTGCGTCAAGGATTTTTCACGCGCTCCGGATAAGTCCCTCCCACGCACCCTCTAAGTTTGAGGCTCCAGGAGGATTAAACGCCCACTTGATGTTCTTAGCAAACATAGTTTCACGTACGTTTGAGTCGACTTACAAAGTTTGTCGAGCTCTCGCTCCAGCTCACGGCAGGCTCCAACGACGTTTGTGCCCAGGTCGGACCTTAGACTTTTCACGTTTCACTTGCTGACAATAAAACGCCTGAGAGCACAGATAAACGAATCCGTCGTCACGGAATTCACCACTTCCAGGTGAACCGTCTTGCAAGTCGAACATATCAAGATGATCCCATACTTCTTAAGTTGTACTCTATCTCTCTTGACTAGCAACGGTCCGAAATAATCCGCTACAGAATGTGTAAGTGGTGGCCCATCCATGGCCACACGTTCCGGTGGGGGATCACCATCTTCTGTTGTGCAACTGGTCTCTGAAGACAGCGACAGCTGGCACAACGACCCAGGACACGACACACTGCCTAGGCTCCCTTTCGGTACGCAGCACCTCTCTCGCAGGACCGACACGACATGCTCTCTTCCATGGTGACCAGCCTCCTCATGAACTTGGTTGATGATAAACTCCGCCACCACGCTGTCCTTCGGTTATATTATCGGATGCCTCCTTGCATGCGAAAGTCCGGTCGCTTGAGACAGGTGTCCGCCTACTTAGATCATGCCATCATCCAGGAATGGGTCCAGCCCCGCAATGCTGCTAGGAAGATTAACACGTCAAGAGTCTCTTAGTGAAGCAAACTCCGAAGCGTATGCCTTCTCTTGCGTGTATCAAACCAAGGCAAATTTTGCCTGCTCCAATTCCCACGGCTCAAACAGCTGCGGTAGCTCTTCAGTCGCATGGATCTGTGACTTCCGCCTGACCATGGACAGAAGCCTCCTCTTGACACACAGAATCCACGCCACAGCACGTCTGAGCCGAGTCCAGTTTGAGGAGTGGCTTGCTCGAGTGCTGATATGATATTCCTTCACAGTCAACGTACACAGAGCTGGCGACCGTTTCCCTTCCGTATCACTATCTAAAAGACATGCCATGCCGTCCGGATTTTCAGGTCATTGCTCCCCTGCTGCTCGAAGAAAGGCTGGTTCACAGAACCACATGTCGTCACCCTTCAGCGAAGCGGCGTCCCGACCTCTGCAGGCGATATCAGCTGGGATGGAGCGGGAAGGGACGTAGCTCCACTGATGCTGTGATGACCCACCGTGAATGATCGCCGGCCTCTTTGTGACGAAGGTATGAAAACGAGAACGCTCGTTGAATATGTATCGCAAGGCCATTGTGACATCCGTCCAGAAGACAACTCGATCGACGGGAGTCTGAAGGGCTCGCTGAAACATGTCATCGGCACTCACCGACGGCGTGGCCGCCAACTACAAAGTCAACTACAACTACCCTTTATTGGCGCTAGACGTGACGTTGCAAACAGGAAGAAATAGGTCACTTCAGCATTGTCGTTGACAATGCGTAAGCACGCTGCTCTGCCGTAGCCGCGGCTGCTGGCGTGAGAGTGGTGTCCAATGACACGATCGCCCCAAAACTGAAAGGAGCAACGAACATTTCGATCTTCGCATCAGAAAGCAGAGGGAGTTCGTCCGTCCACTTGTTCACCTGGCCTGCAGCTCAGGCGGGGCCTCGTCATCCCAATGCATCGGCAGCCTGGCCAGTTCCTGAAGCACAAGCCTTCCCAGGAACACAGCAGGTGTAGACAAGCCGATGGAATTGTACACAGATCCCACGACAGCCAGCATATGACTTCGTGGAAAGCTTACACCCAGTACTTGTCCAGCAGGCAAGCTATCTTGGTTCAGGTTCAGCTCTTGGGTCTGCTTGCCTTGGTCTTCTCTTGTGATGGAAGCCA